TGTAGTGTAGAATTCTAAGGAATCAATACAAAGGAGTCTGAATGGAACTTTATTTTTAAAAAGAAATAAAAGTAGTACTTGGCCCTTTTTTGGTGAAGGACAAATGGAATTTTGCTGTAAGAATGCTTTGGATTACGAACTTTTACATTTATCATATTTATTAAAACATAAGAGTTGTTTAATATTCTTGATTTTTAGATTTTTGAAAATAAAACAATGATTTTTTAGTGCGGAAACTGAATGTTAGTCAATCATAGCAACTATTTGGGTAGGTGAGTGATTTAAGTGATCAAAGGCACACTTAAAATCTTGGTACTTTTGTGAAATAGAAGTTACCATTTTAAATTAATCTCGGGAGAAAGGTTTTCAATAGCTGACTTGATGGCAATATAATTAGTGAGGTCAGTTTCCACGGGGGGATGAATGTGTTATCACCTTGACTCACCACCTTTCTTCACACAGATATTCTACTATTATGTCTTAAGGACATCACAGCTAAGAGGTTGTTGCCATTGTCCCAAGTCAGGCATCCCTGTAGAATATTACACATGAACGTGGGGTTGGTGATCATCCTTGGCACTTATGGTTTTTCTGGAGGTGTTTCTTGGGTCACTTGTAAAACATGTCTGTTCTTCTGATTATATGAGGAGTTTGGAGAAGTTGGGAGGGATAGATATCATATTTTTTATGGGCTGAGTGTGATAGTATTGACATCATGTTGACCCCCTTCATTTCAAGATCTTGCCTTCTGGGGAGTCTGAATTGAAATCCTTCAACCAAGAAATCTAACTTTTGCAAAATGGTTGGTTTGCCGGTAGGCACTTGGCATTTATCTGTTATTATGTGGAAATAATGTAAAAGTTAAAGTGAGTTTTGTTTTTTTTAATTTTAACCCTGAACTGTTAACCATCTTGCGGTATGGTCACTTACTTTTAGAACCTGCAATAACTCCATCAAATCATCAGGGTACCATTTTACTTGCTTAAGGAAGAGTTCACCAAATTATCAAAAAAACAAAGTTAGTTTACTTCTTCACATGGACAGTGGCTTTATAATCACATTCTAGCTATTAAGATTAGAGCCACACATTCCCCTCTACTTCATCCAGTCAGTAGGAAGACTACTGCTCACACACACGCCCCCCAGACTCCTCTCCCACCCAGGCCTAGGCCTCACAGAGCACCCAGGAAAAGCTCTTGAAGACAGTGAATGTTCTACATGTCTACAGTCTTAAGTCCAGTGTCAATGCTTTGCAACGCTAAAGTTATTTAATTTATCCACTTAAAAAAAGTATTTCTTTGGGAAATACACTCATAAGAAGAACTCCAAGAAAATGCAACACATTATTCATGCTTTTTAAAAATACTTATTTATTTGAAACAGAGTCTAACTATATTGCCCTTTGTAGAGTGCTGTGGTGTCACAGTTCACAGCAACCTCAAACTCCTGGGCTTAAGCGATTCTCTTGCCTCAGTCTCCTAAGGAGCTGAGGCTACAGGGCGCCCACCACAATGCTCGGCTATTTTCTTGTTGTAGTTGTCGTTGTTGAGCAGGCCCAGGCTGGGCTCAAACCCACTGTGTTCAGGGCATGTGACTGGTGCCCTAATTACTGTGCTACAGGCATTGAGCCTTTTGTTTGTTTGTTTGTTTTGGTTTTGTTTTTTTGAGACAGTCTCAAGCAGTTGCCCTATATAGAGTTCTGTGGCATCACAGCTCACAGCCACCTGAAACTCTTGGGCTTAAGCAATTTTCTTGCCTCAGCCTCCCAAGTAGCTGGGACTACAGGCACCTATCACAAAGCCCAGCTATTTTTTTCTGTTGAAGTTATCATTGCTTTTTAGCTGGCCCTGGCCAGGTTCAAACTCGCCTGCCTCAGTATATGTGGCCAGCACCGTAACCACTGTGCTACAAGTGCTACCCTGAAATAGTCTTTTAAAAATAATTTGTAAGCCTCACTCTGGAGGTTGAGACAGGTGGATTACTTGAGCTCAGGAGTTGGAGACCAGCCTGAGCAAGAGCGAGACCCTATCTCTACTAAAAACAGAAAAACTACCGGTTGTCATGGCACATGCCTGGAGTCCCAGCTACTCCTGAGGCGAGAGGATTGCTCAAGCCCAGGAGTTTGAGGTTGCTGTGGGCTACGATGCTAGGGCACTCTATCATGGCAATAGAGTAAGACTCGGTCTCAGAAATTAATAGCAATTTTTAAAATTAAACAGTTGTATATTGATGGTAGAGAATATTACAATTTTTTTCTATAACTTTGAAGAACCCCCATACCAAGTAGTATATCGTATACAAGTAAAATAATCATCTTTACTTTGTAAAACAAAGCTCTTTTTGTTGTTGTTGTTGTTCTTTCTGATGATGTCACATGTGATGCCGAACATTATGGATATTTTGCTTTGGGGTACGATGAGAAGAGTGTGAAATTTCACTCTGAAAATACATTTTTCCTTTTAAAACTTCCCTTTAAAATTGAGGTAGATTGCTAAAAAAAAAAAAAA